CTTAGTGGTTAAAGGCCAAAACTCCAAGCATGGCGTAAAATTTCTCTTATTAACTGCAAATTCTCCGTAAGAAAGAATTAACCTCTCTCTACTTTAGTAAAACCAGTCGAGAAACAGATAACTGTCGCAGATCTACGAATAATAGAGACAACATGGTGCTCTGGCATAGTCGTGCGAGCGCGTACGAGATACAAGACCATGCTACCTGATGGTCCATGTACCCTGCATGGTACCTTGCAACCTTCCGACTGTAAATCGTCTCTTGACCCACCTGATAGTTGACCAAAAATCAGCATAAGAAATGGACACTGGTCACCACTGGCTTACGTCATCCACTTACATACGAAGTTTCCCTGCGACTAAGAAGGTACAATCGGATATATAAGTACGATGGACATATACCGTGGTATATGCACACTGGAAATCTAGCGTACTAGGTGACAAACTGACTTCAACATTGCTTGTTCGCAACGCCAGCAGTCGTGCTTATGCAACGAATGGCACTTAGCTTTCCGTTTTACACAGATTTTATCAGGATCCTGCAGCATTTGCATAATTGCTAATAAGACCAATAAAATATTTAGGTGGCAAAACATGCCTGACGATCACTCTTATGTTTATAAATGATTAGCAAGGTCCACTCTTCTTGTTTCTCTACACCAAAAGCCCAAGATATCTTAAGCAGATGGCATCCACTTTACAACGTCCATCATTATTTAAAGAAATCATTTAAGACCAAACTCTTTGGACCAAAAGCATCAAGAACAGGGTGCGTAATGCAATCATTTTCGAAGCAAAAACATTCTCGACTTTCGAAAGCTACCCAACCGACGAGAGACAATGCAGCGTACAAGCTGTGCCGCTTCTTCCAGACTACAGCACTCACGTGAACCGACTAAAAAACAACATCAGAGTCAATAGACGGTGCAAACAGTATCTCAACGATCGAGCGATGACGATAAATTTTACAAAGAAAACAATTATGCTAACATATTACGGCAAAAATAGCTTAGTCACTGGGTCGAACCGGAGTTGAACATATGTTGAACGTGTAGGGTACCCAAACAATAAAATTCTCGTCTATTAGCATACACTAAAATCAACCACGAAGATGCGGAAATTTAAAATTAACTTTGTAAAATGCTCATGACAGAAGCTTTCGAAAGCTTAAACAGCTAACACTGATTTAAAAAGTTAGAAAATAAAAGTTATAATCGTAGAACTATCCTCTCTAGATAGAATAGGACTAAGTCCTGCTTTTGAAACCTCATCTATAACACCTTAAAACCATTAATCAGCACTCAACTAAACACAAAGCAAACAAATGTGAATTTCGCGCTTAATAAGCAGAGAAGAAACCAGTCAGCTGAGGACTTTACTAAAGATTAAGGACAAGATTCAACAAAATCACAGCAAAGAGTTTCTCATCAAGCTTCAGGTGCATTATTTTGTAAACAGCATATTGAGCAAAGGCAGATTTTTGTCACTTTAAAACAATAAAGCAAATGATTTTACCTGCTGCGCCAAAACAAGAAAGCCGCTCCTGAAAAATGCAAGATAATAAAGTCTAAAACTCTCAGCAATATTAACTTACACTTTGCGAACAGTTCGAAGTAAAATGGTAACCAAAGACGACACCCAACAGAAAAATATCAAAAAAATATATAAACGACAGCACCACAGACGGCATCCAGAATTTAGAGCGAGAAGCTAAAAATGAGTACCGTAAATTTACAGGTTGGAAGGTAGCATACGCCGTATAAAATTCAATGACACTTTTATAATGATGCTTTCGTTTGGAGAGCCATGGTGAAAGTTAAGGTTGCAATTTTGAGCAAAAAAATAATTATTTGGTTATTATTCAGTATGCTAACAGACTATTTCAATTAAATGACATGACAGCATATAAGCAAACAGAAAACGACAGAAAACATGATGTTGTTTAATAATATTGTCGGAGTGGGGAGGGCAATCTGGCGCAAAGAGGTTAATAATATGCTTTGAATCTAAGAAGTGACGATTCTTTGTCTGAAGCATTCCTTTAAAATTATCGTTTTGATTTCCAAATTGCAAAGAATTAATTATTCACCCCACTGTGCTTCGGTGCAACTGGCAGGAGCGATCAGAATTATTGACGTGAGAATGATACGAGTAGCATCGTGTCATTCCGTAGTTATGTCAGAGTATGCCAACATTATATCTGTGATATATCAGAGATAGCCTTACGTTTGCAATTCGTCTTTACTAGCCTAATAACTAATTAAGGTCAAATCAGAAACTAAACAGTAGGGTAGACAATATTTCTATAGATACACACTTAGAATCGAGGGAAAAGACAGAGCACTTATGAGCATACTCGACTTTGAGATTATGCCAAAGTTAGTATTATCGCCTGCTTTTTGAAACGTTTGAAAAGTCACCAAACCTTACTGCTAACCTTCTTGATCATACATATAAACGATTTGCTGCTATTATTTCAGTCTCGTGTAATCTCGATTCGTATGCTTAAGGGCTGATAGTCAAGGATTTACTCTCGTAGTGGTCACAAACCTGTCGTGGACTGAATCACGTAGTTTTGGCTGAGGTAACTTTTTCCAAATTGTCGATGTGGATTTGTCACGTTATATTAGCTCAGATAATCCTAGTTTCAGCTGTTGACGAGTCACAGCAGAAATTTGCTGCATCTTAGAAGTAACTGGCCTTGACATATGGGCGCTATAGCTACGCTCGCAATGATATGATAGTTGTACAAATAGATATTCCGTTTTCGGGAAGGTTCAGGCTGTTGCAAACGTTTGGAACACTTTTGGCTTAACTTGGGCTCTCATGGCTAGCGAATGGTTTTTATTGAAACCGAGCACAATTCATAAATTCACAAATTCATACGAAAAACTAGGTCAAAGTGACAGAGACCGGATTTATTTTGATGTGAACACTATAATTCGTTCAACAATGTTTGACTGCAAGTATTGAGCCAATAAAAAACTTGGCAATGTTCCCTTCTCGAACATAAATACCTTCAAACAGTCATTGCATTCAGTCCAGCTCTGATGATGCTCTGGTATGTGTACTGAGACTCGTCGGTTCAAACTGTTATCAATCTGCTGCATTTGGTTCCCCGAACCATGAATTATTCAAACAACTGGGTATGTAACTATGGGCTCAAAATCACAAACCTGGCGAATTATTTGGAATATATTCACTTCTGAAATTTGTTGTCGGGTCGACTGCAAACAGTGAGTTTTCAAAGGTAGTTAAATCCGAAAATAATACAATTTTATGTACGATTGTCTTTTTAGTAGCTCGCAACGTATTCTTTTTTCAGCAAAGCAATAAAGACAAAGATAAATCTAATTAACTGTGACTTTATTGTCCTGCTAACGCAAGAACGCTATACCGGAATTCTGAAGCCTCCATGGGAAATAGAATTTTACTATTTTCAGGCTTAAAAACGAAAACGTTTTCTGGTGAAATACAGTAATCCATACAGTTGTGTGTTACTACAGAAGTTGCACTGTGCAAGTACCTGTTTTGCTTTGCTGTACTTCCATATGTCTTCTATTTGAAAGATTTTGAATAAGGTCACAAAGACTGTACACAATGTAAAAGACGAAAGGTAAATAGACAAAATCGATTATTTCATTTAGAAAAAAATGCCACATACGTTGATGGCAACCGCTTTGCCGAAACTTCTCCTTCTTCTTTCTCCACCGACCATCGGACCGACTGGAAAATAGCAACATTTTTTCGATGGAATCGCTTATATTGCACTATTGCTATAGTTTTCTGTCTTGCACCCTAAAAAGTAAAATTTACACGGTGCATCGTTTTCTGGGACCTAATGGTCCAAGTTCTAAGTTGTTTGTGGATCCAGTATGAGCATCTGCGGTGCGTAGGTGCACTTGAAATGTCGCATTTTAGTTTAGATTCCAATGCGCCTTTGTTCCACAAATATTTCGAGATCGTTTACTGTGTTCTTAAAGTATATGTGCAACTATCATGGAACTATTACCTACTTATATGGCCCTACAGGCTTTCATTGACAAGAGCGATACGCATGCGCCGCATAAATCCGGTAAAATAGGACGAATTTGAAATCTTTAATAGGAATACAGAAGAATTGCCAATATTTAGTAGCTATTCAAGACTATTGCATTGGCTTTTTGTTAAATAAGACAGTGGCTATAGCCGTTAAATGGGACAACGATAGCCATTGATACCTGCAAATCTCTAAACTTTTGTGATCTGTCTGAGTGATCAGCTGGGTACCAAAAGAATATATTACCTTTCTTCGATTTGTAGCCACTGAGAGACATGCTGATGTGTAATACTCATCGTTAAATTAAAGTGACAAATTAAAGGTATATTATAATGGGTGCCTTTCTTGGACGACAACGGCAGTCTCCCGATGAAGATATCGAGTCTCCGGTGTTCTGCTACAAGTATCCGCCAAAAACAGGTATTTCGACATGTAAAGCATTAATTCCTTCTTGTCTGCCTGTATAACGATATTCAAAATGTGTTTTTTTTATTTTGTCTCTAAAATGAGTTAAAATAAGGCTGCACGTTTTTTAACGTATGCATCATCTTCATCTTCCATGGCCGCTTCTCCTTTCGGGTCGCCGAGGCAGGTGCGTAGACAGAGCTTTTAACGTTCCCGATTTTGTGCCAGAGTCTGAGCTTCGGCAGAAGACAACTGGAGTCTGGACAGATTCCTTTTATATATTTGCACCTGGTTAATCTTAGCTGTCCCATGCGCCTTCTGCCGGTCTGATTCGCAAGAAACAGTTGCTTAGCCTTCGTTTCTGGAGGCATTTGCAACACATTCCCAGACCATTGCAACTGTGACTTCTCAGTCGGCAGAAGCAAAGGCTGTACACCAAGGCTCTCTCGGATGTCAGTATTCCGACCATGGGGAGGCGCGTAAGGCCAGCGACTCGTATGTGATTAACTGATTAACGTATTTGCGTTGAATAAATAAAAATTTACTGCTTGAGTGGGATCACAAAAAAATTCGGTTTTCAGCAAACGAATAATTTTAAAATAACATTTTTTAAAGCTTCAGAGCATGAGAGCAAAATCAGCCATGACTTTCGTTAAATGTTATTTTTTTTTGTTGTTGCTTCAATCGAATAAGACCAGGGTTGCATTTACTAGAGACAAAAAACGGTACTCCAATGTGCATTTTGTCTGCTTCAGGTTCCTATTTCGGAACGCATTTCATGTTGGGCGATGAGCGGTTCGAAACAATGCAGCCGGAGTCGTTTCTGTTCGGCGAGAACTGCGACCTGAACTTCCTTGGAAGTAAGCCCGTTCAGGTATTTTCCTTACCTTTGCATTTGAACTTTTTCAGACCTTCTTTCAGTTCCCGTATTTGCCGAGGGTGGTTGCTCGGCCTTTAAACTGTCTGATAGCTATTCGTCGGGATTCGCTTAAATTCGTCAGGTGATTCGTGTATTTTCGTCTACATGCGTAATGGAAAATTAAATGGGCTATTTAGTCAAATTGAAGTCCAGTTAATACCAATTGCATGGTATCCAGTAATTAATCTAAAGCCATAATTTGAAGGCACAATACTTTAAGTATATCTGCCCACATCTTGACCCACCAAGCTGGAGAGTACTTTTTCAGGGCATAATTTTGATGGAATTTGTTCTGCAGAAGCCTAACTGTTGCATGCCTGATCCTCATTTGACCATTATATTGTGAGACGTGCTGGTACTAGTTTGGATATGTGTTATCAAGTGCACTAGTTCAAAGCCGTTGGACTTTTTTTTAAAGACCTGTCGTCTTGGATAACTATGACATTACACATCATCAGTGTCTATAACTCTTGTGCAAATGTAGAAGAATATTGCCTGAATGCCGTGACACTAAAACGTTTTCAGTGTCTGATTGAAATTAAAAGGTACGTTGAAAATTTTTTCTTTGTATATGAAGTGTAATCATCTCTGTAAGATCTTCGTTTTCCCTGCAGAGTACTTAAATGCAATGAATTGTGCTTTAGGGTTTCGAGCGAAGGAGACTCCCAGGATGAAAGCTCCGATTTCTCTTGTCAATACAACATCGAGTTCGTTTTCGATTGCGACGTGCCGTGCACCATCACCATTTATTACTTCGCTACGGAAATAATTACTTCCAAAGGACTGAGGTTGGTAGTGCAGCAGTTTACTTACTGACGTATAGAAGGAGTGTTGTAGTGCTTTTTGACGTATTACCATCCCGGAATCAAAAGTTCTTTCAAAAATGTATAAGCTAATAAATATGGTAGATGAAAGGCCTATGGGGTTGGCAATGCGATCATGTGAACTGAGCAAAAGTCGTGTAAAAGTTATGCCGAAGCTTCATCGTTTGATTTTAGTTACGTGTCAGCTCACCCGGACATGACGTCTAGTCCTTACCGATATGACGTGGGATGCAACCAGCTGTTTTGTCATCCTGAGCATTTTTTTAATCCACCAGACTATAAGCCAGAAGAGGTTATCATTCTGCTTTTATTATGAATTTATGCCAGAAATGGGATGCATTTCAGATGAACTACGATCCAAATCTGGAGATCATACCTGTTGTGATTCACTGCGTAGAAGAAACAGAAAATCACTCAGGTAAATTTGTGCTGGTTTTCTAAAGATACGTGACATGCGAGGATTTCCCTCGTCAAGAATCACACACCCTACAGTTAGTTTAGGGACAGACGCCAAGAACCCTAACGCCCCGCAGGTTATTGCCTTATCGATGCTGTAGTTTCTTGCTATTTCCAACCGTTGATAACCATTCTCTGTACTTGAAGAATACTTATTTATCCTCTTTCGGGTTTCCGTTCGCTCTTTCCGTCCGTAGAATTTTAAAATCATTCTTATCCAATGACGCATGACTGCTCAAAGACCAGATTAACTTCTGAAGTTTGATCAATCTTATCTTATCCCCATACCTCTGTGGCGTTCCCTCTAGACAGCTCATTAGAGTCTGCACCGACAAGCTAGCCGAAACGAACACAAAAGCATGAAGGCATTAAAAAGGCGTATTATACTATAGTTTGGCAAAAAATAAACTGTTACATATATTATGAGTCAGAACATATCATTCTGTGTTGATCTTTCATTTGTTTTTAATTGTCTGAAAATGACAGGGTAAGTGTTCTGTGAGTACTGGAAAGGCACTGTATAATTCAACCGATATTTTTGGTCCTCTAATTTTCTTAGCTGACGTTATTGGAATACTGGGTAGCGTGGTCTGCAATAATTATAGCGTGGTGACAAAGCGTGAAATGTCATGTTACAGAAACTGGATAATAGGCGTTCTTACTGGACGAAGCATCGGTGAAAAAACTTAGTGTAACTTATCGAAGGATAGGATATAGTTTATCATTGGGAGATTGCAAAATCTTCATGATGAAACAACAGCTTCACAATGAGCAATGACGATGACATAAATGTGCAACTTTGGACAAGGCCACTATGCTGGATTTCCATTTGCTAAAATCAGCAGACATCTTTGGGTTTTTTTCTTCTTGCCCATTGATCGCTATCCTCCATTTGGAAGATAAACGACGCGATCAGAAACCGTTTTCGCAATGCTTTCTGGGGGGGGGTGGGAAAGAATAGTACGGCTGTCTACCCAGTTCCTTTGGTTTTGGAATGTGTTTAGAATTGGCGAAATTGTTTCAAAGAGTATAAACACCTCGGTCGACCCTGATTGCCAATACTTTTGTAGTCACTCGACTGGTTATTGCCGGCTATCCGAGATGAGGCCGCAGACCGATGAATTATGGAAAACGAAAACAACAAGGCGAACGAATATTCCATTATTGGTAGCTTCATTTTGGAGGGTCAAAAATATCGCACAGCTGTTAAAAACTATTTTTGCTGTGCTAGATTCTTGCTGTTTGTCCATGTTGATCAGGAGTACCTATTATTGCGTGATGATATTTCAGTTTGAACATTTTTAGCACCGCAGTCACATTCGACCTTCGCAACCATAGAACGATCGACCGAAGAGCATTCTCTGATTCTTAAGCCGTTGAAGCAGAAGCTATTTATCGACAATGTCTGCTACTTGCTTCAGGAGGTCTATGGAGTAGAAAATAAAAGCCAGACGGGTTCGATGGACGTAGCGGTATTAAAGTTTCCTTATGTCATAGCTGTTCTCAGTCCAGTTTACTTGTGGATGCTGTAAGAAAACGTGGTTATATACAACAAAGCTATCATGCCGAATAACGGTGTTTATTTTTTTATAATGCTTCGATAGATTGTTATAAATCATTCAGAATTACTTAAACCGTATAACATCTGTATGTAATTTAAAGCAAATTAAAATTGCACGGTGGGGGATATCGAATGGCTGCCGATAAGTGCTGTCACATCAAAGCAGGTTGGATGCAACTAATCTGAGCAAAGACAAAAGTAATTGGAAATTACGTTTATTTCAAAGCTTCCCGTAATTATTAATAGTTAAGCACCATTTCGATTATTTTTAAACCAAGTCAATTTTAGACTACCAGTAACGATTTTGACGAGAGTGGCGTCGAATGCGTGGTTTGCATGTCGGAATGGCGCGACACGCTGATATTGCCGTGTAGGCACTTATGTCTGTGTAATATCTGCGCCGAAACATTACGTTACAAGGTGAGGTTGCGATCACTAGTTTTCTTCGTCTGTTCTGAACTATCATTTGTCATTCAACTTCGGTTATAGTTTTAGTATGGAGTAGCTAGTTTTGCCTTTGGCTCTTACCAATAATATCATTTAGATTTCTGAACAAAGATGTTAGATTAAAACTAAATATGAACTAATTTTTTTGATAATTGGGAAAGGAGGTACAGCGAGGCAAACGAGGCAGCCAATAAAAATAAAACATTTAGTGCTGTTTAATAAGGATTTAATACAAAGAAATTACATCAAGATCGTTTGGGGCTGGGGTATCCATTGAACCAGTGAATCAGAAAGTGAGTGAGTGAGTCAGTCAATCAGTCAATTTCGATGGCCGTTTATCCTTTAGTTTCGCAGAGACAGCAGCGCCAGACATTATCCAACATTCCCCATCCTGTGCTAGCGTACTCTCTTATGGAGTCGACCCTATCTACCATCATGTTAAATCTGGTTGCACTGGTCATAAAATCAGAAGGGTTAGAAGGTTTATTAGTAATGGCGAGTTTAACTTTCGTTTAGGCAATCGTTTACATACAGAAGTATGTGAAATTTTGACTAACCAAATATTTTATCTTTTATTCATATTTTATTTTTAGGCCAGCAACTGTCCAATATGTCGCTCACCGTTTCGAGCTCTTTTACAGATCAAAAGCGTGCGTAAGCTGAGACCATCTTCAGCACCAATGCTCTCCCTTTCAGAAAACGCAGAAAAGGTATATGATGCTAATATACTAGCTTTCTCTACTCATAAATCCAGAATATAATGAGTATATTTGAATAAATGACAAGCAGCAGTAAGTCCAGAAATAAAACGCTTAGTAAACACGCCGCTTTCTGAACCGTAGAACGATGTTACTTTATCAGCTTGATAATGATGTTATGTTTTCAGCCCGGCTGTGGTTTTCCGTGGGGATTTTGTTGGGTGTGTTTATATTTCATGTTCCCGGATGACATCTTTACCTTAAGTTAACTGCTGGAGAGCGTGAGTGAATCCCGCTCCCTTTGTGCATAGTCTTCATTGACTGTGAATAGGGATTCAACACTATGAAGTACAACCTAGTGTGGACTGAAATGTGGAAGAGGGCTGCTACACTCGTTACATCAACCTGCGGAAGGAAGCTAAATCTGACTGCTTCACGTACATAAAACCGTTCAGCGCCCTCTCGAGATTCTCGCAAAAAGGGCGTAATTAAAGAAGGCACCATTTACTCCAGACTGTTTGCTCTGTTGGTAATGGTGTTTCAGATGATGAACGGAAAGGGTGGGATTAACATCAGTGGTGAACAGCTCAGTGACTTAAGGTTCGTTTGTGACGTGGTGTTGTTTGCGGAAAACTTCAGTCGGCTACAAGATGTGCTGCACTAGCTTTAGAAGAGCAGTGCAGAAGTCCGATTGCGAATCAGTCGAAGACGACGATACTGCGATCGGATGGCCTCCCAGATACCC